GAAGGAAGGAAGGAAGGAAGGAAGGAAGGAAGGAAGGAAGGAAGGAAGGAAGGAAGGAAGGAAGGAAGGAAAGAAAGAAATTGTCTGTAAGATGCTGTTGCTTTTAGCCCAGTCAGTCTCTCAGCCTAACCTGGCCCTGCTGGTGGACCACCTGATGGCATCTGGTATTTTTGGCCACTGTGTGACACAGAGTGTCAGACTGGATGTGCCATTGGCCTGATCCAACATGGCTTTTCTTATGTTCTTAACCAATCTCACAGGGTTACTGTTGTGAGGATAACACAGAGGAAGGAGGGAAGATGTTGTTGTGGGTGACATTTGGGAAAGAAAGCACCATGGTCTGGGCTACAATACTATACTGGTTAGAGTGCCAGAGAAGGATCTGGGAGACCAAAGTTTGAATCCCCACTGACCTTGGGCCGGTCACTCTCTCTCAGCCTGACCTCCCTCACAGGGTTGCTGTTGCCATAATCACTACAGCTGTAGCTCAGTCGATATCCTGGCACTGTGACACTCACTCAGGGGCTCAGGAGTCACACGTGGCTCTTTGACATGCAACCAGGGGCTCTTCTGAGCACCCACCTCCATATTTCAGGGAAATGGGCAAGGTTCTTGCCTGGTGGGCCTTGTGGTTGGCAGTTGGTTCCTGCCTGGAAACAGCTACCAGCAGAGGAATGGGGAAGCTGTGGGGCCCCCTGAGGTGCAGGCCTTGTGCCAGGGACGGAAGTAAACGTGGTTCTTTGCGGTGACTGTGAATACGTCTCTCTGTGCGCTGCACGGTGAGTACCACTGTCCTAATACATAAACAGCCAGTGTGGTGTAGTGGTTAAGAGTGGCGGACTCTGATCCAGAGAACCGGGCTTGATTCCCCACTCTTCCACGTGAAGCCTGCTGGGTGACCTTGGGCCAGTCACAGTTCTCTCAGAGCTCTCTCAGCCCCACCTGCCTCACAGGGTGTCTGTTGTGGGGAGAGGAAAGGAAGGCGATTGTAAGCCTCCCTGAAACTCCTTCGGGAAGTGGACAGTGGGGTATAAAACCAACTCTTCTTGCTGTTCTTCTTAATGGGGGCCATATGCCCACCACAGGGGGCAATCCACAAATATCAGGGCAAATGAGGGGCATTTGGGATTTTAAGGATCCCCTTTTCCCTGCTCACAGTGCCTGTTGACAACCAGCTCAGGGAGAGTTGTTTTATGCTGCTCACCCTGCCGTGAGGATTTTTAAAAATCCCGGATCCTCAATTTCTCCCCCAGGCCCCTTAAAAAAGCGGCACACAGCAAGTAGGAATGAAATTTAATATTTACGAGTTGGCTGATGGCCAGCAGGCCAAGACACAAATGTATCACTTACAGGAAAGCCCTTAACGCCTTTTTCTCCAGTCAGCCCTGCTTGTCCCTGTTAGGAGTGAAACGAGTCTCATTAGGATGAATTAATTGGGATTTTCTAAGAAACGGAATTTGGATAACGGGGAAAGTTGCTATCACCTCCATATCCTAAAAAAAGAACAACAACCCTCTTCCTTGCAAAGAGAAAACTAACATGTCAGAGCCTTTCTTCTTGATATACTAGATTTCTAAATGTGAGGAATTCATGTGGGCTCCCACTTGTAATTGGAAACAAAACAGCCCAGGTGGGGGTTTGTGTCATCAGTGAAAGGTAGGCCATTCAGATTCCACAATTAACAAAACCAGTGTGGGGTTGCAGTTAGAGGCTTAAGCTAGTATCTGGGAGACCCAGGTTTGAATCCCCACTTTGCCATGGAAGTACACTGGGGGACCTTGGGCCAGTCACACTCTCTCAGCCTAACCTACCTCACAGGGTTGCTGTTGTGAGGGAAACATACAGGAAGGAAGAATGCTGTGGTAAACTGCTTTGAGTTCCACTTGAAGAGAAAAGCAGGGCATAAATATCTAACAAACTAAATATTATATGCCTCAGTTTGGTGTAGTGGTTAAGTGTGTGAACTCTAATCTGGGAGAACTGGGTTTGATTCCCCACTCTTCCACATGCAGCTGCTGGGGTGACCTTGGGCAAGCCATAGTTCTGGCACAGCTGTTCTTGAAAAAGAGCAGTTTCTGTCAAAGCTCTCTCAGCCCCACCTACCTCACAGGGTGTCTGTTGTGGGAAGGGGAAGGGAAAGGAGTTTGTAAGCCGCTCAGAGACTCCTTTGGGTGGTGAAGAGTGGGGTATAAATCCAATTTCTTCTTCTTCTCTCTGAGAAAATCTCCAAACCAATAATGACAATTTGCTTATCTGTATCTTCCCAGGTACAGCTAGTTCTACAGAAATTAACTATAGGTTTTACACAAATGCATGTAATGGAACCAACCAACATTATCTTTCTTTTAAAAGGAAGGCTACTTGGGAGGGGGAGATTTTTAGTAGAGCAGAGGGGAAATGGTACTCCACCCTTTCCCTGCCCGCTATTTCTCTGTTCCAAGTCGCCCCTTTCCAAATACTTCTCCCTTACTGCTTCTCTGCTCAAAATCACCCCCTGTAGCTGCTTTTCTTTAAAAAAAAAAAAAGAAATCAGGACTTGGCTGTGTGCATTTCCATGAAATGTGCATTCTGGTCTACATTTGCTCCCCTGAAAAAGTTCTGCTTGGCTTTTGCCAGCTGCCCAGCCAAACGTCACCTTCTGTCAGGCTCAGTATGCATTTTATAGTTCTCCTACCATAGAGGAAGGAGGAGGGGGAGAGGGGTGTGAACACCAAATGCTTTCGTTTTCCTAAATGTTTTGATGTACCAGACACTGTGTTGCAGAGACCTGTTGCTTTGCTTTATTTTTGTAGAGAGGTACATGCTTAGTTGGGGGGGGAGTAGTTGACTGTTACTTCTGGCGGGCAAATGCCGTGGGGTGATTGGGTTTTGATCTTTAGTGCCTTTGCTTGAACACAATATATCTGCAATCTCCGCGCTTTCACCTTCAGTCCTAACAAAGCTTGTGTTCAGTATGGTATTCTTCAATGCCTCAATAAATTAAACTTTCTTCGAAGTTGTGGTGCTGAGAACTGATTTAACCAGGATTCTGACACCTCCCGTCTCCCCTTTCTGACAAACAGACATTTTAGACAGGAGGAAAAGGGGGGCAGAGAGTGTTATAAAGTGAGAAGGGGAGGAGCGAGGGCCGTCGTGCCGGCGATGGGGTGTCTGGGGAGAGGACACACTCACTCTTTCTCCTCGGTCTCCTTTGGAGCCTTTGGATCCAGGCTGTCCGGCTGACCCTGGCATGCCCTTGGAAACAAATGGAAGGGAAACAGAACACCATCAGTACCTATTTGGTAATGTTGGGCAAGCAACACACGGTGGTCGTCGAAGGGTAGTGTTCAGGTTATTATTGCCACTGCCTCCAGGGGGAGCTTTGTAAACAGAAGTCCATCAGTGGCTATTAGCCACAAGGTATAGATAGGCACTCTCGGGCAAGGGATGCTCTGTATTCTCGGTGCTTGGGGGTGGGGGGCAACAGTGTGAGGGCTTCTAGTGTCCTGGCCCCACTGCTGGACCTCCTGATGGCACCTGGTATTTTTGGCCACTGTGTGACAGAGGGTTGGACTGGATGGGTCACTGGCCTGATCCTACATGGGCTTCTCTTATGTTCTAATATTCTTAAGCAGTTCCATGGAAGACACGGCAGCTGCTTCCAAGGGGCACAGCAACATGACCTGACCGTGGCAGCAGCAGTGGCAAGCATAGGAGTCAGCATGAAAGGCACCCGCACCTCACCCCGTTCCCATACCACTTGCTGCTGTTGTCCCCCACTCCACCCCTTTTTATCTTGTCGCATCTGTGCAAAAGTGCAGGCACAATGGCATCCCCCCCCTTTCTCTCTCTTTCTCTTTCCCTTCAGACTTGCACTATGGCATGGCTCAATAGAAAAATGGCGGTGGGGGGAAGCCCTTTAAAGGACTAAATGGGTGATGGTTGCAGAGGCCCGTGCCATTTTGGAATGCAGTGCTTAGCTCTGGCTCTCCGTGGTGGCTCTGGCTGCTGCATCCACCCACCACCAACCTGCCCTTTCCCCTTTGAATGAGAGAAAACCAGGTTTTATTTCTCTACGGAATGAAGGGGGAAGTCCTGGGCATGCGATGAGCCATGGTCGAAAGGAGTGCAATGGCGCAAGGATATTCCCAAGAAATCCGGGGGCTTCCTGTGTTCCCTATGGGGAAGGATCCCCATGTGGAACTGGCCAGACACATGTATATACATACATACAACCACATTCACACACACACTTCCATACATGTCCCCACCCCTGATGAATTGTGGCCTTAGATAGGGATAATGGATAACTGTATAGCCGCTCAGAGACCCCTTCGGGGATTAGAGCGGGATAGTAAGATGAAAGTAATAATAATAATTCACACACACACTTCCATACATGCATGTGATCCTGCTTTATACTAGTCCTCTTCGCAAGTTACAGTGAACATATGTATGATCTTTATACATGTGTTGCATAATTCCCGTGTTATAGTGAGTGCACGTCCAGATGAGCCTGTGATTTAAACCCCACATTTATCCAGGTCCCGGTCTCCAGCTTCATTTGTAAAGTGAACAGACACTGGCTCTTTCACACAAAACCGATGTACACTCGAACATGCAGGATGTACAGGTGTTTACTGCAACATGTGAATGGGGCTAGTGAGTCAGAATACTGTTCCATCAAGCTCAGTACTGTCTACTCTGACCAGCAGAAGTTCTCCTGGGAACCCAAGCAGTTCCTGCTACTTGAGATTGTTTTAGGTGGACATTAAACTTGAGAACTTAACTCTATGCAAAGGAGGTGCCTTATTTTTATTTTTTATTTATTTTATTATTTTTCAAGGCAAGAGACGTTCAGAGGTGGTTTATCATTGCCTGCCTCTCATGACCCTGGACTTCCGTGGAGGTCTCCCATCCAAAGACTTGTCAGCGCTGACCCTGCTTAGCTTCCAAGATCTAATGAGACTGAACTAGCCTGGGCCCTATTACCTCTGGCTAAAAGCAGAACAGCAGTGCTTTGGACTTTTTAATTCATGAAGGTGAACAGGTGCTGGTTATTGGTCCCATTAGCTTAACATTTCCCCCCCCCCAGCACCTGTAACTTCCAGAGATGGAAGCTGGAACCTTCAGTATGCAAAACATCTGTTCCACCTAGGGTTGCCGGCCAGGTTCTTACCGGCTGCCGGTGGCGGACTCCTGGCTGGTGTCTGGGATCTTCTTGCGCGTGCACTTGACATCTGCTGGAAGTGACGTCATCATGTTGCCAACATCGGGAGAATTCTGCTCTAGTTTTTGGGCAAAACTCTATTCCCCCCCCCTCAAAACCATAGAGCTTGCCCAATAACTAGAGCAGAACCCCCCTGACCTTGGCAACGCCACTTCCAAATGATGTCACTTCCAACATCACTTCCAAGTGATGTCACTGTGACAGGGACATCACGCAGTGATGCCACTGTTCAGGGGGTGTCCATCAGCAGACTGAAGCCCCCCCAAAATCCAGGTAACACCCGGGCAGACTAGGGGTTTGGCAACCCTGGTTCCACCACTGAGCCACAGACCCTTCTCTAACCAGGTGCGCTGCCACTCTGGCACAATCCCTCTACAGACTCCAAAGAGGAGCGCAGCCTGCTGTAGAATTTATTGTTCTGATCTTTGCTGCTGCTGCTGAGTTATTTGCAGTTATCAGGGGTCAATTCGTAGAAAAAGAGTTAGGGGGACTCATTAGCATAACTCATTAGCATATGCCACACCCCCTGACATCACCGGAAGTGTGTCCTCCCCACAGCCGACCTCCAGCGGGCACCAGCAGGGAACTCCAGGCCCCGCCCTCCCGCACCTCACCCGGGGGGATGGCGTCCCCCCGCGTCCCCCCCCCAAATGACCCCTGGCAGTTATGAAGAACTAGACTGGAGTCGAGCAGCACCAAGAAGAAGAAGAAGAGGAGGAGGAGGAGGAGATTGGATTTATACCCCGCCCTTCACTACCCAAAGGAGTCTCAGAGCGGCTTACAAACTCCTTTCCCTTCCCCTCCCCCACAACAAACTCCCTGTGAGCTCGGTGGGCTGAAACTACTCTTTTTCAAGAACAGCTCTTATCAGAGCTATGGCTTACCTAAGGCCATCCAGCCAGGTGCAAGTGGAGGAGTGGGGAATCAAACCTGGTTCTCCCAGATTAGAGTCCACGCACTTCACCACTACACCAAACTGGCTCTCTACTACACCAAATCTTGGAGACCGACAAGATCTGGGGGGGTCTAAGCTTCCAGACTCAAAGCTCCCTTCTTTGGCCTTGACTCTCGGAAGCTCCTATCCTGAAAGTCTTGTTGGTCTCAGAGGTGCTGCTGGACTCCAGCCTAGCTCTTCTACTGCAGACCAACATGGCTGCCCTCTGAAACTATCTTGCTGCAATGAAGCCCATCAGTTAGGGTTGCCAGGTCCAATGATCATGCCAGTGGGGGAGGGACTTCCAGGAGTGGCGGCACAGCACCACAATGTGATGGTGTCACACAGAAGTGACATCATCACATCGGCGACGTTGTACAGCAGCACTGGTATACGGGCAAAACTCTATGGTTTGAGGCTCATAGAGTTTTGCCCAAAAGCCAGAGTGTCACCACACGACGTCGCTGACGTGATGACATCACTTCCACGTGACATCAGCATGTTGCGTTTGGGGGAGGGATTTACCCCCCCTGGCCAGCTGGCCGGTGGCGAGCGGGACCCAAGAAAGTGGGGGATCCCCCTCTCCCAGCTGGGGAATGGCATCCCTAGCATCAGTTCTACCAGTAGCAGGCTATTGTAGAAACTGATGGGTTTAGACCGTGAAAGACCAAGACTGAGTTCGTTGTTCACTGGACAGTTTGGGGCAGCCCAACATACTTCAGCCTCAGAGCCAACGTTCCTGGTTCAGCTTTGGAGTTTGCAGATGATCCAAACAGTACACAAAGGAGTGTCTAGAGAACAGAAGGTAACCAAGATGGGAGGGCGTGTGAATCTGCTCCTCCCTCATCCTTCTATTCATTCCCTTTCCACAAAATTATAAATCGCTTGCATACCGGTAGCCCGGGGGCACCCACTGATCCTGCTTCTCCTTTGGGGCCCGATGATCCCGGAGGGCCTGGAAGATAAAAAGCCATAGCATCAGTGGAGAGATTTTAGAGAAATTGCAAAAGGAGGAGGAAATATCACAGGTTGATTTGAAACAGGCACAACATCGTTTTACGGTAGGCTTGCCAAACCCCCCGGTTTGCCAGGGGTCCCCCGTTTTTTGGGGGGGTTCTACCCGCCGCCGGCCAGATGACCGGCGGGGGAAGCCCCACCCCCAACACCCACAGCCACCCCTCTCTCTCCCTTTAAGTGTGTGGAACCCGTGTTTCCTCCCAAGCCTGATCTCCGCAAGCTTGCAGGGAAATGCCAGCTTCGTGCTCTTAAAAGGGAAACGCGGCTGCTCTTAAAGGGAAAACGCCGGCTCCTGCATTTAAAAGGGAAACGCCGGCTCCTTTAAGTGCAGGGAACTGCTGTTTCTGGAGATCTGGCGCACGGGGGGGGGGGGACGTCCCCAACGTGATGTCATCACGTCGGGGATGCCCCACCCCCTCCAGGAACGCCCCCAAAGTCCCCCGCTGGGGGTGGAAGATGGACTTGGCAACCCTATTTTACGGATACAGTGACTCAGACATGGATTAACAAGGACACGTGGGAGTTGAAACTGCTGAGACCAGCCTTGGTCATGCCATAGTAACCTTGTCCACTCAACCCCAAGCCTCCAACCCTCAGTATCTTCTAAGCTCTTACGGGCTGAAGCAGATGGGTTTCTTCTTCCTTTCTTTAATGGACTCTCAGCTGCTCTCAAGATTACAGCTCTCTCTGAAGCATGCTCAGTCCTCAATAAGCCAGTTTTCCAGGTTTTTCTTCTCATTAATTTATAAAGTTGTGTTTTCATCTAAACACGGGGCATCCCCCACCTACAAAGAGACTCCCCCCCCCCATCTTGTCTATGGGTGGCCTCGTGTGACTTTCAGCATCTGTACAGGGACCAGCCGGTTTACTATTAGATAAGATTGGGTGGGTTTTTTTACTTATTTGAAAAACATTGTTACACCCTGGGAAAACAAAAGGGAAAAAGCATATTACAGGATAAACAGATGCAAGAGCTGAGAAAGAATAGATGTGTCTAACAGATTTTGGGGAAAGAAAAAAAAAGATTGCTGGGCCTTGTCCAATTGAGACGCATCATTACCTTCTTTTTTTAAAGCAGTCGCTCTAATAGCCATAAAGGTTTCTTTGCGTTTTGTGATCTATCCTGCCGTGGTAGGAGTAACCCCCACCCCCCATTGTGCACTTTAAATGTTATTAAATGCAGAATGACATGACGTTGCTATTTTCAAAACACAGGCACACAGTTTAACAAAATAGCCTCTGGGGTAGAAGGGCAT